AGAGAGAGAGAGAGAGAGAGAGAGAGAGAGAGAGAGAGAGAGAGAGAAGGGGAGAGAAGAGAGAGGGTGTCATACACACGAAGAGAGAGAGAGCGGGAGGAGAGAGAGAGAGAGAAGAGAGAGGGGTACCTACACATGAAGAGAGAGAGTGAGAGAGGGAGAGCGAGAGAATGTGAGGGGAGCGAGAGCGAGAGAGAGAGAGAGAGAGAGAGAGAGAGAGAGAGAGAGAGAGAGAAAAGAGAGGGGGAGAAGAGAGATTCCGAATGAAGTAGGATGAGAGCACACGCGCAAGAGATAGCAAATCTAAACTTACTATAGCTAGTGACTCCGAATCCAGATGTAGTAGACGGCCAGTCCACGTACTTATCGGCATCGTTGCTAGCCAAGGTGATGGGCTGAACGTTGTTGGTGAACACCACTGGCTCATTAAGCTCGAGGACTGCAACGTCATTGTAGATGTCGCTCTCGCTGTATGCCTCGTGTTTTATGATCCGAGTTATCTAGAGTGAAAGATATTTGAATTCCTTTAGACATCTGTACACAAACACGCACGCGCGTACGTACACCTGCCCGGCCGCACGCACGCACACATATTCTACACAATCAGACAGTCACACGCACGCACCTACTCAAGTAGTACGTTTACTTACGTATCTCGTTATTCCGCCGCTGTTCTGATTCAGTGTTCCCATGCGAACGGAGTAATAATCCGGTTGATCCTCGTCTCTGTAATCCAATGAAAATGGAAATAAGTCGTGAGGTTAATTTATCAATGGTATCTTTTCACGAGTTTCATATTATGTCTACATGACGACGTAAGTTTCATGTGCTGATTCGACTGTTCTTTCGCACGAATGTACGCGCGCACACGAACTCACACGCATGAACACACGCACGCGCATACTCATATACATACGCGTACGCACGCACGCATTGGAAGACACACTGCCACGTGCATGCACGCACACCACATAATTTCCTATATATATATATTATCAGTAGACCTCACTTCAGAAATAGGAAGCAGACCTTGCATGTAAGGTCCCCACTCCATATACCAGTCAGTACATAACCAGGCTGCGTTACTATTTTAGCGCATGCGCAATATCTCACCAGAAGAGCTATATTGTGTGATACAAAGGCATTTAGTATGATCAGGGGGTATCTCAGCATAGGTTTCTGTAATAAATTCTTATCCGTCGACCTGTGTTTATAATTAGGAGAGCGCCCTAGCCTGTAAGGTGCAAAACTCGTACTTCAGCCCCCCGCCCTTTCCCTTGTCTTTATTGTCGCACGCTCAGCCTCCTCCTTCTTCTACCGCCCGTCAGCTATCTTCTCTGCCGCTTTCCTTTAGTCTCCGACGCCTCTCTCCCTCAGCAAGCTATATTACGTACATTTATTTAGGCCGTGCTGCACGCCTGAAACGGTGCTCGCGCATGCGCAATATTTCCAGAGAAGAAGAATATTTTGCAACGATTATAATTTTAAAATGAAGAGGGGTTATCCAATCACAGATTTATATAAGAAAATTGTATCAGTAGACCTTTTTTCAAAAATAGGAAGCAGACCTTGCATGTAAGTCCTCGCTGCATATACCAATCTGAATCAGTACATAACCTGGCTACGTTACTGCTTTAGCGCATGCGCAATATCTCACCAGAAAAGCTATATTTTGTGAGGAAAATGGATTTAGTATGATCAGGGGGTATCTCAGCATAGGTTTCTACAATAAATTCTTATCCGTAGACATGTGTTTATAATTAGGAAAGCGCCCTAGCCTGTAAGGTGCAAAACTCGTACTTCAGCCCCGCCCGCCCTTTCCCTTGTCTTCCTTGTCGCACGCTCAGCCTCTTTCTCCTTCCACCGCCCCTGGACTGTCTTTCCTGCCACCTTCCATCAGTCTCCGACCCCTCTCTCCCTCAGCAAGCTATATTACGTACTTTTATTTAGGCCGTACTGCGCGCCTGAAACGGTGCCCGCGTATGCGCAATATTTACAGGGAAGAATAATATTAAAAAAAAATTATTAATTTCAAATAAAGAGGGGTTATCCTATCATAAATTTATGTAAGAAAATTGTATCAGTAGACCTCATCTCAAAAATAGGAAGCAGATCTTGCATGTAAGGTTCCCGCTGCATATACCAATCAGTACATAACCTGGCTACGTTACTGTTTTAGCCCATGCGCAATATCTGACCAGAGCAGTTATATTTTTTGAGGAAAATGCATTTAGTATGGTCAGGGGGTATCTCAGCATAGGTTTCTGTAATAAATTCTTATCCGTAGACCTGCGTTTATAGTTAGTAGAGCGCCCTAGCCTATATGGTGCAAAACTCCTATTTCAGCCCCGCCCGCCCTTACCCTTGGCCTCCTTGTCGCATGCTCAGCCTCCTTCTCCTTCCACCGCCCCTCGACTGTCTTCCCTGCCACCTTCCCTGAGTTTCCCTCCCCTCTCTCCCTCAGCAAGCTATATTACGTTTTTTTTATTTAGGCCATACTATAAGCCTGAAACGGTGCTCGCGCATGCGCAATATCTCCCGAGAAAAAGAACATTTTGCAAACATTATGAATATAAAATGAAGAGGGGTTATCCTAACATAGATTTATATGATAAAATTTCATCAGTAGACCTCACTTCAGAAATAGGAAGCAGACCTTGCATGTAAGGTCCCCACTGCATATACCAGTCAGTACATAATCTGGCTACGTTACTATTTTAGTGCATGCGCAATATCTCACTAGAAGAGCTATATTTTGTAATGAAAATGCATTTAGTATGGTCAGGGGGTATCTCAGCATAGGATTCTGTAACAAATTCTTATCCGTCGACCTGTGTTTATAATTAGGAGAGCGCCCTAGCCTGTAAGGTGCAAAACTCCTACTTCAGCCCCGCCCGCCCTTTCCCTTATCTTCGTTGTCACACGCTCAGCCTCCTCCTTCTTCTACCGCCCGTCAGCTGTCTTTCCTACCGCCTTCCTTCAGTCTCCCACCCCTCTCCCCCTCGGCACGCTATATTACGTACTTTTATTTATGTCGTACTGCACGACTGAAACGGCGCTCGCGCATGCGCAATATCTCCAGAGAAGAATAATATTTTGCAAAAATTATGAATTTAAAAAGAAGAGGGGTTATTCTATCATAGATTTATATGAGAAAATGTTATCAGTAGACCTCACTTCAGAAATAGGAAGCAGACCTTGCATGTAAGGTCCCCCACTGCATATACCAATCAGTATATAACCTGGCTACATAACTGTTTTAGCGCATGCACAATATCTCACCAGAAGAGCTATATTTTGCGATGAAAATAGATTTAGTATGGTCAGGGGGTATCTCAGCATAGGTTTCTGTAATGAATTCTTATCCGTCGACCTGTGTTTATAATTAGGAGAACGCCCTCGCCTGTAGGGTGCAAAACTCCTACTTCATTCCCGCCCGCCTTTTCTCTTGTCTTCCTTGTCGCACGCTCAGCCTCCTTCTCCTTCCACCGCCCCGGCTGTCTTTCCTGCCACCTTCCGTCAGTCTCCGACCCCTCCCTCCATTAAGTCGCTAATTGTCCAGCTCTCATATTTACTAGACAAAGACATTTTGTAGCTATTTTGTATGGAAGACCTGAGACGACATGCGACTTTTTGAGTTTCCGAGTTTTTGAATTTCCCATCAATATATATAAAGTGCTGAGAGAGTCGTAGAAAATGTTTGAAGTCCAAAAATGAACACACTGCGCATACGTATTCCGTGACATTAAAGTCAGTTTAAATTTAGAATCGCCTACCGTGAGATTAAATGTGTGTTATTTAGCGGAAAAATACTATTTGAATTTAGAATCCTTTACCGTGAGAGTAAATGTGTGTTATTTAGCGGAAAAATACAATTTGAATTTAGAATCCCCTACCGTGAGAGTAAATGTGTGTTGTTTTAAGCGGGAAAGAACAATTTGAATTTAGAATCCCCTACCATGATAGTAAATATATATGTGTGCCTTTTTAAGCGAGATAGCATAATTCAAATTTAGACTCCCCTACCATGAGAGTAAATATGTGTGCCTTAAGCGGGAATGCATATGATAGGGCCTAATTTAAATTTAGAATCTCCGTCATAACGCATGCGCAGTGTGTCTGTTTTCGACTTAAAAACATTTCTCAATGCATGTTCTCCCGTGTTTATATTCTTTCCTGTGTGACCCTTGCTTGACCTCCATCTCTAGTACTATATACGATACGAAATTCAGAAAACTCGAAAACTCAAAATGTCGTATGTCGTTTTGAACAGGGCTTCCATAGTATACGGATATCCACCGCCAAATTTTTAAGAGTTCGTGTATGGTCTGTACTTCATACATTACACGTAAGAATGATGCACTCTACATGTGGAAGATTTTCCGCGGCAATACTTGTTTCCCATAATTTGCATGCGAACGTCAAAATAACTGGAAAATTTGTACTGAGAACCTTGTGTTTGAAGAGCTTCAGCTAAGAACGGTTGTCATGGCATATATATATATATATATATATATATATATATATGCTATTATGTGGATGCCAAAAGCACGAATAACATATTGCGTTATGTTTTGTCCCATAATTTTGCCAGCCCTTTACATTGCTTAATATGTAAGGTAGCCTAATTATCAAAGCAAGTAAGCATGACAAAAAATCATACCGTGCTATAAATATTTGTGTAGAAATATATATTCCAAAATCATCAATTACTGTGTATTACAATCAATTGCTAGGCTATGCATATATGCGACTGCTTTGCTTGATTTGCATTACCACAAGTAAATTATTATTCACATATACCGTCTTCTACACCGCCAGGCTATAATGTTAAAAGCTGTATGTAGAATATAAAATTACATTATATACAATAAGTTATGTTACAAAACAATGGTCATCAGCAGAATTTGTTGTATAAAACTACTCGTGTACGGCGACACGTGCACATAATAATTCTTCTATGATGTGATGCATTCTTGCACATTCTTTTTGCACGTTTGTTACTAAACTGCAGACGCTAAATGTACGACAGCTATATTTGTAAGAAAGCTGTAACGACCTAAAACCTCGAGCAATGCCCATGAATATGTTTTCAGCGCGTCTGTGACTTTATGATCCAGTGACACGCATATAATCACTCATAGACTGGTTGCCCTGTTCCGAAGAGACAGGGCGACCAGTCTAAATAAAAAAAAGCTGCGCTCAAAAAAAGACCCCGGTGTTTAACAATTAATCATTCACAAGATTGTAACACTGAAAATCAATTCATATTTCAAATTATTGGCAGCCGCAGAGGAAGACGCATACTACTAAAGAATCTCATGCAAACTATTTCACAGACGTCACAGTATTCTGTCTTATATAGTGTATATGTCATACTCGGCTGTAGTTCTCTCTATACATATAACAGGGAGCGGAACTTCGACTTGCCATAAGAATCCATTCATGCACATTATGTCGATTAATTACACCATGACAGGTTACAAAGAACAAGGGCAGGGTTTTATACAGCTACCATGATTCGCAGTGGATAAACACTAATTTATATTGAACTAAAGACCGTCTTATCGACGATTTGCGCACGTGCCAGTAGAAAGAATAGGTTTCCAGTTTTAAAAAACATACCAAATCTAGTACATATGAGGACAAATATGCGTGTACTATATACATATACGTGAGGATACGTATCTATGGGATACACAACTTTCAATTATACATACATACGATCTATACACTGAATATCTGACAGAATTATTCACGATCTTGTTCATGTAACCAGAACATTCATCGACAGTAAAACCAGAGTAGGTTTTTCGCTACTCATAATTAATTATTCAAATTATGTCACTGACTTATAACAACATTTTTACACATGCTTTGCTATATTTTGATTTTCGTCTTCATAACAGTTTAAACATAGGTATACAACCGACCAGATACAAAGAATCGCTATTCAAACAATCGCCATGCAGATGTGACCACTATTAGGATCTATAGAAAACCTTGTTTTCTACTGGAGTGTGACGGCTACACTCCACTAGATGACTTAAAGGACGCCAACATGGCACGTCAAAGACCTTATCTTCCGATTCAGATATGCATCCTATTTTGCCATGGATTGGGGCAATAATTAACAGTAGGGTTTTATAACAGAAATATGACTTGGTACCAAGCATTACCGGAATACAGTATGTCAACGGGTAGACATCATAAACTCATTGCTAGACTCTGGACGAATATTCAACGTTACAATCGAGTCTGTCTTGGCAGTTTGAGAATTGAAACGTCAGACCTCAAGAAAAAATCCCAACCTGAACTATATTTTGAGCAAATGTATCGCAAACGATCAAGTGACGATTTCAGAACCATTCGAAACGGAAGCAGTGTGCGATAGCGTGTACTTTCGGGCCGACTTTGGGAGCTTGCACTGACCCGTCCACGGTTACACTATCACCTCGTGAATGACCTTGCGCTGCGGCGTGTGCGGCGTCGACTGACCGCTGGCCACGCTGCCCTGGTCGTACGTGACATTGGTGGAGGGCGCGCGTGATGACGAGTAGTCATCGTAGTCGTATGGGTCGGGCAGTCCGCTGATGTGCAGGTATGGATTATCTGCAAACGAGAAGACCACGAATTAGACGGTTGACACAGGTGACGTCGCAGGTGCCACGGGTAATTTCTCAAAAGTTCGTGCAGGTGAAGTGAATGATACTATAGATAGTGAGGCAGGTACATGACAAAGGTGACACAGTGACCCAGGTGACAGGTGACAGGTGACGTCACACGTGTTGGTGCAGGTGAAGTGGATGACTCCACAACTGACGAGGCCTATGCTATGTATGCTATGTTGAAATATTCCAGATTAGAGTTTTATATTTTCTACATCACACGGGTTCAACAGGTGAGAAGTTGGTAAGACATCCGCTGACAAAGTCATGAGAGGTGACACAGGAAATGCAACTGGTCTCACAGGTGATATGTCTCTGCTGCTGTCTGATGCCTACCTATAGAATTATTGCTATTGAGCCTGTTCATATCGTCGTCGTTGCAGTAAGGGTCAGCATCCCATGGGTCTGGTTTATAGATGTCAGACTGCGTACTACCGTTGTATAAAGGCGGTGCGTGGTATGACGATCTGTTGCCATTATACGCTGGTGGTGGACCTGTAAATGGATGAGATCAGTCTAAACTTGGGCTCCTTAAATTGAACACACACTATCGCACTAGTAACCGTGTACAGTTGTAATTGGATCGTGGTGCGAGTGACTTATTAATACAAATCCGCGACGTAAGCACTACAACACGTGCTAGTTTTATTAAACAAATCCCATAATTTACTACCTTAGCAGGGTTGATATTGATATTCATACCTAACTTTTTGTTTAACATCTGGTGAATTTACGTAGTAAATTAATGCACGTTATAATTTACTCACCATTGCTATTCACGTTTGGACTATGGTAGTAGCTGACACCGTTATGTACACTTGGTGGCCCTAGGTCATCGTATTCAGTTGAGAGAGCCTTGTTCGAAATTCCTTCTAGATTAGATCGCGGTGGGGAGACATGTCTAACGTGTGGTGTCTCCATCTCATAGTCTTTCCCGACTGTCAAGCCAAACAAATGAATTTCACTTCACTACACAGATTAACTTACCGTATATGATCGCGTAATAACCGCGGGCGCCTATAAGCCGCACCTCAATTTGAATCGGGTAACCAAGTATTGCGCATAGTATATTTCCCCTCACGGTATAGCGCACTTATAAACCACAGAGCAAATACAGGGTTGAAATCTGAGGCCAAATTTGCGGTTATTACGCGATCATATACGGTAGCAGTAATATTTCTAATCTTAGGGACTCCATCTATATTTATCCTTCCACCACGTCTATCTTTTCAAGCATAGTACACGTTTATGTAACCTTCACCATCAATTTTAAATTTGGTATAAATTTTCTAGCATTACCTTTATTTTCGGGTACTTTCTTCTTGCGACAACAGCAACAGCACACAACCACAGTGATGATGATCACGAGAGCAAGAGCACCAAGGCAACACAGCAGGATCAGTATCCACTTGTGAAATGCTGGAGAGAACACAAAGAAGCAAGGTAACTTGTGTTTAAAGTTGCAAAACATAAAATCAAGTCACTGATGGCCCAGTATGGCATAGAAACAATAGTAGGTTGTCTTGTTTAAATGAGAATCTTTTTAGCACAGCATAGTCACATGTCTCCGCTTTTTTTATTAATTATTTTTCCTATTTTGGTATAAACAAAGTAATACGATCTGCTCAATCTTGCATATGCATAAATGTGTGTGTGTGTGTGTGTGCGTGCGTGCGTGCGTGCGTGCGTGCGTGCGTGTGTGTGTGTGCGTGTGTGTGTGTGTGCACAATAACCAGGTTATCTAGCAGGACCACATAACCAGTAATCCAGAGTTATTTAAAATACCTTACATACAGCATTTCTTTTATCTAACACTAATCGAATCACACGCAACAAAAATCAGTACTCACAAATTTCAGCCAGCACGGGGACACCACAGTCATCTGGGTTGTTACTCATGCAGACAGAAGTTCGAATATTCATGTTCTTGCTATAACTGTCAACTTTCACGTATTCGGAATTTATCATCTCACACGCTCGGTACGTCTGAAAAACAAACCATAATCTTAACCCACATGCACGAAAAACAATTTCTTTCTAGTGTATTCTATCACAGCATTATCTGCATGCATGCACACACTCACCTACAATCGCATGCACGAATAAACGCACGCACGCACACACACACACAGGCATGCACAAATACACACACACATGCACGCACGCGCACACACCCACACAAAACATCGACTCCAACTCGCGTAATCCAGCCGCACGCTGTGCAGGGAGACTAACGCGATTCGCGGGCATCTGCTCTCACCTCCCAGCCGAGCGACCCCTCCTCGTCCTGCGTCTCCACGCGCACGCACGCCTGTGGCTCGGCCGGCGACGCCGTCCACGTCAGCTTCTTGCTGACCTCGTTGATGCCGACCTCGGTGAGAACGACACCGTTGGGGTCGACGGGCTTTGCGAGCGTTTCCACGGCGACGCGATTTGACGGCTCGCTCACGCCCTGCGTGTTGCTCGCTGCCACGTAGAAGCTGTAGGTCGTCATCGGACTCAGGTCTGAAGTATAGCGGAAACATTGTGACGTCAACGTTAAAATAAAAAAACAAGCAACATCATGTTGATGCGAATGACAACAACAACAAAAAAACTAAATACAACATGCGCAAATATCACGAAACAAAGCAAAACAAATAACAATAAGATGCAGCAGAAGTTGCAGTAACAGCAGCAACATCAACAAACATACAACGACAGAAACAGGTTTCCTATTAACTATAAATCCGGACAATTTTTATCTCAGCGTATGGGTGGCATTTGACTATCTTTCATGTAATTGCCTACGGAATTAAAATGAAATCGGTTGCAAAGAAATATGGCATGATAACTACATGATCCAGCACTATATACAACGAGCGTGCTATAGGAATACTAAACACACTGACATACCCGTGATAACAAATTCCGTGCTGCTGCCCGCTTCAATCGTCTCTTGTGCTCGAACGGAGCCCATCTGATAGACAATGAGGAAGACTTGCGGTGCGCCCCCGTCGAACCCAGCATCCCACGTCAGATAGACCGAGTCGTGCGTCACGTTGTCGTAATTGAGGTTCGCTGGGGGATCCGGTTTGCCTGAAGAATGTACGACGTGAGATATTAGCCAACATTCGCACAAAAAAGATTAAGTTTCTACTTCAAAGATATTCGACAGACATAAATTAGTGACATCCATGATAATATCAGGACCCTTTTAATCTAAACCCTTTTCTTTTATCCGAATAAAATCGAATTTGGCAAGACTAAGAATCTTGACTAGATGTGCACGTGAAAACTTCACGGGATTTCGCGAACAAGACAATTGGTCGACGTCCAACAAATGACAAATATACAAATTTTAGACCAGCTGCACCACATCTTTGCTTACATATCACTCACGCGCAAACCTGCAAATGGGTGACCAACCGGCCCTCGTCAAATCGAGTTAGAAACGCAAGGAGGCAATTTCCCCCCACCCACCCACTATCCCGGCACTCATGCAGCCTCTGGCGCCACCTACCTACAAGCTGCAGCTCGAGGGCGACGCTGGCGCCACCTAGCATGTTGTCGGAGCGGCACGAGTACTCTCCGACGTCGCCCGAGTGCATGCCGTCGATGAGCAGGTGGCTCTCGTGCAGGTCGCCGAGCTCCGGCCGCGCGTACGTCACCACGGTGATGCGATCCGTGTCGTTGTGCAGCTCGGCGCCGTCGCGCGACCACGCAAAGCTCGGCGCCGGCACCGCGCGGAACTGGCAGACGACGGTTGCCGTTGTGCCCACGTCGAACGCAAACTTGTCCTGCTCCTGCGCGCCGACCGGCATATCTGCGAGAGCAAGCAAGAAACCGAATTGAACGTCGTCGGTTACACACGCGTACACGTACGTAGTCAGGGGCTAATCTAGCTGCTTAATATGGGCACCCGTGACGAGCGTAGTGAGCCTAAAAAACATTATATATATTATATATATATATAAATCTATCACATTAAATTGGGCGTTTGGTCGACACATTTTATTCAGATGATAGATAATAGATCTTATATGAGCATTTTATTATAAAACAGCTAGTGCCTACATAACGATAGAAACATGGAGATCTGCATCAGAGCTCTGCTAATTTGGGCGTTTTTTATTAATTTTGTAATTTGAGCGTTTTTTATTAATTTTGTAATTTGGGCGTTTTTTATTAATTTTGTAATTTGGGCGTTTTTTATTAATTTTGTAATTTGGGCGTTTTGCTGGTAGTCGTAATTTGGCCGCCGGTATTTGGTATGAAAAATGGCTTGGATTAGGCCCTCGTAGTGGTTTTAGAAGGCTCCGTTGTGAAAAACTTTCTGACTCTCCCCAGCTATAACAATAGTGGTTGTTGCATTACACTTACAGTTTACAGTGAGGTGGGTGAACCTGGAGTCAGTGGGTCCGGCGCCAGAGGCCCTGCACTCATAGCTGCCCGTATCGTCCTTGCTGATGACTCCGCCGGGTCTGCCCGTTCCCTCCCACGACAGACGGCTGTCCGTCTCACTGATGTGAGAGTCTACGGGATCCTGGATGGAGAGAGGTGCCGTGTTTTACTCAACAAAGAAATTACGAGAAACTAGCATGCTGTAAAATTTATGAACGAATACACGCATGCACACACGCACACAGACGCACGCATGCTCACGCACGCACTCACGCCCCGGCCCCTCCATTCCGAGGTCGGAGGGACCGCATGCGCGTTCCCAAAATCTCCGGTAAAGGGGTATTTTTCGCGCGACAAAATCCGGCCCAAGAATTGTAAAAAAGGGGGTGTATTTGACTTTTCACCCGGAGATTTCTTTAAAAAGGGTGTGTTTTTCCTCTCTCTCTTTCATCTTGAATATCATAGAAAACTTTATCAAATCCCGGGATGAAATTCCTGAAATTCCTGCTAGTTTTGAAAGTTCATTCAGGATTATTTAATTTTGAAATGTAAAAATATTGCCCCCTAGTTCCCCTCAATCACTGAACTCTACACTACGTAGTGTAGACTGGTTCGACAGTTCCACACGCTACACTAACGTCACTACGGTTGGAATGAGAGCTTACCTGAGATAGGGGGTACATTGAGCAGTGTTCCGGATTTAGGGGGGTCTCCAAGGCAGGAAAAACCCGCAAAAAGCCCGCAAAAGGGAGGTTCAGAAATTTTAGCAGTCCTGAGATAGGGGGGTGCTTTCAAAGGGAGGGAACGAGCATATGCGTACCCTAACTAACACTGAGTGGGGGGGGGGCGGGACTCACGCTCACGTGCATGCGCACACACACGCACATGCACATGCACATGCACATGCACACGCACACACACACACGCACAAACATAGATAAATGGTGTGACGGATATTTATTATTATATAATGCTTGATCAGCAATGAGAACTCACTGTGCTACTTGCAATCATGAACATGTCGTTACTGGTGAGTTCCACATTGTCCTTGAGCCACGTGATTACTGGGGCTGGTTTGCCCTGAGCAGTGCACGTTACAGAGAGGCCCGTATTACTGCTATTTGCAACCAACTCTTTTTCTGGTGCTTCAATGATTTGTGGGGACTCTGGAATCATAAAAATATATCATTAATGTAGGCATTTTTACTCACTTAAATGAATGCATATATATATGGATGGATGGATAAATAGATAGATAGACAGGTAAATCATAACAAAATAGCTATCATAGGCTGACACTGGTACTCACCTCTGTTAATTATAATCAAAATAAAATAGTAAAAATCATTATTTCTAAATATTAGGTAGACAAAGGCATCATTACAATGGTTTGCACGTGCACTTACGATTCACGACTAGATTCACAGTTGCCGGGGCTCCGCCGCCAATGCTGTTCGTAACCAGGCATTCATACTCTCCACTGTCAGCCAGGGTCAGGCTTATCATCGTATACGTCGCGTCCGACCTAGCAAAAGCAGCTCAACATGTAGCTTGGAACATGCCCCTCGATTCAAATACCTCACACTCTGCACAAGAACTGCAGACTTTCAATATACACACGTTAAACGTTACTTGCCGTTTTTATTCATAACAACCCGATTTGTGCAAGCCTAGGCATTCGTCCTCCGTGCGTATCAGACGCCCATGTTAATAAATTTTAATAAGTACCATATGTAGAAATCCTCTCCTTTTCGCTTCCAGTAGAATGTCCCCATGGGAACTCCTGGGTCTGTCACGTAGCAGTGCATCGTCACATTGCCGTTGACCAGCGCCTCCTGGTTGAGAGGTGTGATGCTTGCCGCGCCTGGTGCATCTGAAAGATGACAGACACAACGTTCTCACCGGTGCGCTTACGTAAATACACACACAATAACGGTAAATTAATAGCTAGTCTTCTTTATCTCACCTGGAAACTAACACTGCCGGGTTGAACTTGCGCACAATAATGCATCATATAGAAGTGCTGCCGATCGCTGAAGAATTCAAATAGCTGCTTCAATTCAGAACAAAGACTTTCCGACGTAAATCGTATCACGAACTTACACTGCACTTCGAGGTATGTTGTCGCACGGCCAACCTGCTCTTTGGCCTGACTCGATTCGGACAGGTCGAGATAATTTGTCACCTCACAAGTGTAGTTGCCAGCTTGATCACTAGAAACATAAGTAAAAAACATCAATACACTACGTTAGAGGAGAAAACGGTGCCATGCATATAGTGTATTGTAAAAACATTCAGCACAAACATCTTTAACAAAGATACCTTCATACACATACAGCCTATCTCTATGAGATATTAAAATCAATCTGTCTTCATAAACTCCGGTAACTAACAAAATCACTAAGAGCATGACCTACCGCATTACGTCATTAAACGTAAGTTCACTGCCTTGAAAAATCATGCCTCCATCCTTCCACCATTCGACCTTAGAGGGCGTAGGATTGGCATCGAAATTGCACGTTAAGGTGACAGTTGTCGACTCGAGTGCAGATACCCTCTCATCCACCGTTAGAATAGGGCCGTCTGAAATTATGACCGTTGATACTTATACAGTGTTTCATTTCGTTAACGTTAAAAACCATGAAGTTCAATCTTGAATAAATGCTATGAGATTGGGTAGGTGGGTTATATCCGAAAACAGTTTCGGTAAGAGCAGATGAACATAACGTTCACCCTGAATTGAACGGGTCTGGACTACGTTACATGTATGCAGAGTAATCCATAAAGAAGCTGCACGTGATATAATGTCATATAACACCATATGTCAGAACTATCAGTGCACAAGTCACTTCCGCCTAATTCTATATCGGACTCGATCGCGAGTGTGACAATATGATCATATATACTCACAGAGGACTTGCACTTCTAATTGGTCAAAGCCTGAGCCAATGTTGTTTGTTGCCAGGCACTTGTAGATACCGGCCATCTCCTTTTGCACTGGGTTCAGTGCATAAGACTGGAACAACAGCAAACAAATGGAACTCTACCACAAGAGTGTGTAAAAGTAGGTAACATTTAGAAACAAGCCCGTTTTCATACTATATGCAAAAATTTAAAAAAAAATTTGGTGCAAATTCATGCAACCACTAATCTATACTTACCTCGCCATTGTAATTCAGTGTATTGCCATCGTGGTACCAGGTTCTGCTGACGGATGAAGGGTTTGCATCCACGTCACAGGTAAGGGCAGCATCTCTGCTGCCCAGCTCTAGCTTCAGTGGGTCATAGTCTGGTTTCATTACCACATCCGGCCGATCTGTACAAGAATTTTTACTCACATTACAATAGGAACATGCATGCAACTATGTCAGCACTAGCCGTGAAGCAGAGCACAGTACATTTCAATGAAGCTTATTAGTTTTCATAAAATATAAATATTGTCCTTGAGAGAGAGAGAGAGAGAGAGAAAAAAGTAAGACAGAGAGAGAGAGAGAGAGAGAGAGAGAGAGAGAGAGAGAGAGAAGAGAGAGAGAGAGAGAGAGAGAGAGAGAGAGAGAGAGAGAGAGAGAGAGAGAGAGAGAGAGAGAGAGAGAGAGAGAG